TGCTATTTTTATGAAAAAATTCTTGATATTATATTTTACATTTTTTAACATTATGTTGCTATAACTTTTAAAAAATGCATGAATCAATTCTATTCTTTTATGATAAATACTTTAGATATATTTCTTTCAATCGACATACTTTTTCCTTGTAGTCCAGTGTATAAAACTCATAACTTTGTTATAAATAGCAAACATTTTTTATTGAAAAGTATTGCATCAAGCCCTTTAAATTTTTATACGCGTTAGAAGTATATAAATATACAACTACTTTATTATTTTTATAATATCTTCGTTAAAATTACAATATAAAATTATTGAATATCAATTTCATACTAAATTTAATCACTATAATTATTATTTATTCATATATTATAATTCTTCTTCTTTTTCCTCGCCTTAATCCCAACTACTTGGGGTCGGCCACCCTTATCCTAAACTTCTACTTAACACGATCTCCCACATCATTTACGCTCACATCAGCTGTCTTCAAATCACATTCAATAGCATCTTTCCATCTCTTTTTTGGTCTTCTTCCACCTCTTTTTCCTTCAAAATTCATTTCTATAACTGATTNATTCAATAGCATCTTTCCATCTCTTTTTTGGTCTTCTTCCACCTCTTTTTCCTTCAACATTCATTTCTATAACTGATTTTACAGCTTCCGATTCTTCTCTCCTCATAACATGACCAAACCATCTAAGTCTATTTTCTCTCATCTTATCCACGATTGACGCTACCTCCTATACTCCCTCTTATATGCTCGTTCCTTATTCTATCTGTTCTCCTTTGTCAAATTCGTACTCTATATACTCTGTCTTACTTCTACTTATTCTTAAACCCTTTTCTTTAACAACACAGCACCTCTCCTTATATTTCTCTAGTAATATCATGCATCACTATAGAAAAAAATTAAGGGCTTAAAGCAGAACCCTGATGCACTCCTACTCTTACCTGAAACCCTTCTGTTACTCCCACACTTTTTACCCTAGTACAAGAGCCATCATACATATCTTCTATTATATAAATGTACCTTTTCGGGACTCCTTTTCTCATTAATGCCCACTTTAAAACCTCTCTCGGTACTCTATCATAAACTTTGTCCAAATCTATAAATACCATACGAACTCTTAGTGTTGTTAGTGTGTTCTTAACTAAAAAATTCTAAAAAAATTCCTTTGTTTATGATATGTAATCCGTATCAATTTTTTGATACTGAAAACCACGAGTAGTTAGACTTCACTTAATGTAATTAGTTTACTATATACGAAAAACATAATTTCTTCAGTAACATTTTCAATATTAAAAATTTATGAGCAGTAAGTATTAAAAAATTCTATTTTGATAATTTTTAGATTAATTTTTTAAAATTAAGCCATAGTATATGATTTTATTTACGATACATCGATAAATAAATATGTGTACAAAATTCTTAAAATTGTTACTTAATAAAATTTAAACTATCCCTGTGGACAGGGGATAAGACTACTTCCACGGCCCCTCTGCCAGTCATAAGAGGCGACTAATGAAGTTGCGTCAGGTCGACAACTGGCGTAACAATTTTTGTCAAAAAAGTATGAGGAATCCTGAACATAACTTAGGCGGATTGTTCCATCTCGGATGTAAGCGGGGAAAACAGAAAGTAGTTAAAAACGGAGAAGGTGAAAGGAATAAAGTGTTTAATACCAGCTGGACAACTTTTAAGATACATATAATACCTTTAATTAACTTATCACGAGGTGAAAAAAGGGAGTTAACAATTGCTTTATAATTGTTACATAATCCTAGTGTTACGTTTTTTGATGAACCTACAACGTAAGTATTTATTTAAAATTTACAGTTATGGTTTAATTATGACTCACACAAAATATTTGTAAAAATATAAAACAGTACTAATTTTTAATTTTAAAAGTTAATAGTTTTATAATTTTCAAGGAAAAAATGATTCTATCCACTCTTTCCTTTTAACATTTTTATCAAATTAAATTTTTTAAATGGAAACATATATGTTTAACCAACTTACAAATTAGAAAAAGATCTCTCTTGTAACTTATAAAAAAACTGTCGAGTAACAACTTGTGAACCAGTATATTGGAAATTATAAATCGTACTGTTCCTCAAAAAGGCTAGAAGAATAGTATGATTTATAATTTCTGGAGATAAAAATAAACAGACTTGCAATTCATCTACAGTCACTATGTTAAAGAGTTAATTTTCGGTTTACAAGTTGTTACTAGTTTTTTTATAAGTTGCTAGAAAAAATAAATTTTTTGTTGAACTCTTTAAAATTTCTCCCAATATTTGTACTTACTTCGGTGTTTGGAAGGAATTCATTCTAATTTTAAAAAGTCATATTAATGTATGCCCTAACTTCATTTCTAAGGAATAGTGAATTCAATTGTATTCACCACTTTTCAAAGCCAAAATACGCAGAGTGACAAGAGAAGGGTATACATTTTTTGTTAAGGGTGACTGCCCCCTCTTGAAGACATCCCTTTATATTATTGGTTTTATCTAAACTTACTCCTTTCAAAAAATAGATGATTTCATATTTTTATAAAAAAACTTATTTTGTAAGACCACTTTTTAATAAAAGATTTTTTTCTGATTGCATTTCAACTTATTGATGAATATAAATGTGAATGCATTATTTTTAGCTTTGATACGAAGCTGAGAAGATATTAGTTTTGTGAAACTAGTATGCTTTTTTGTTTATCCATGAAAATTCTCAGCTCTCACTAACTGATTTTAATATTAAAAAGTCAAAAGAAACCGAATTTAATCTAGTTGAAACTAATCAAAAATGTAGAAAAACATCTCAAAATTATAATACAGTAAAAAGTGTAATTATTAACTATAAAAGCTCAACTCTGCTCTATTCTTATGCCAACCGCCCAATACTCATATTGAACCATACATCATAGCTGGTCTCACTACAGTAATATAGATCTTACCTCTAGTTCTCCTTTGTCAAATTTGCATTCTATATACTCTGTCTTACTCCTTCTCATACTTAATCTTTTACCTTCTACCAACCTCTAGCTTTTGATTAATTTTTTTCCTATTTTCTCCCATTAAAACTTTATCGTCAGCGAATAACATGCACCACGGTACTTTTCCTTGTGTTTATTTAGTGATTTTATCCATCACTATAGAAAATAAGTTAAAGTAGAACCTTGACGCACTCCTACTTTTACCCTAAAATCTTCTATATCTGTTCTCAGTTTCTACCCTAGTATAAGTGCCATCATATATATCCTCTTTTACATTAATGTACATTTTAGAACTCTTTTTTTCAATAATACCCATTTTAAAACATCTCTCAGAACTCTATCATACGCTTTCTTTAAATCTATAAATACCATACACAGCTTTTTCTTCTTCTTTTTATACTATGACTTATAAGCTTTATGCGACTATAATTTCCACACTCCTCTATATTACCTTTACCTTTAAATATCGACACGACAATAGTATTCCTCCATTCTTTTGACATTTTTCCTTCTAATAGGATTTTATTAAAAAGATCCTTCAACCACCTTATGCCAACACCAACTAGTATTTTCTATACTTCTACTAGCACTTCATCTGACCCTATTGCTTTATTCTTTTTTATTGTTTCCACAGTCTTCTATAGCTTTTTTTCACTAATTAAATCTATTAGTCTTTCGTTCCATGAGATATCCTCAAATGTCTTTGTTAAATACTCCTCATTTCTTAATTTTTAAAAATGCTCTTTCTACCTTTTTTTCACATCGTCACTCGAGAGTACCTTATTATCAACATTTTTTATACACCTTATCTAATGATATCCTTTAGACCTTTTTTTCTCTTTTACTTTTGCAAGTCTATAGATTTCTTTCTCGCCTTTCTTTGTTTCTAGCTTATCATAGAACTCATCATACCTCTTAAACTTCGCCTTACTTACCACAAACTTGGTTTCTTTGCACAAGCATTTATACTCCATCCAATCGTCTATCCTTTTACTCTTCTGCAAACATTGAACTGCTTTTTCTTACTCTCTAAGGTTTTTAGAACGTCTTCATCCCACAACCAGGAGTCTTTGTTTTATGTCATTCTACTCGTAATCTCATCAACAATCTCCTTTGCAGTATTCATTACACAACTAGCAAATTTATTTCACACATCATTTATGTCTTCTCAACTTTCCACATCATCAACTCATTTATCGTTATTAAAAACTCTTTACCTTTTTCCTTTATTAATTCCACCACCGGATTATCGATTTTTCTCCTGTTTTTACTACTTTATTACTACTAGTCGTCTACTTTACTTTTCACCTGCTCATCCATTATTATCTCTACACCATTCTTTGTATAAGTCTTACCTGAGTATATTATTTTACAATCTTCACTCAAAAATTTTGAGTACAGAAATTTTGAAATATATAAACTGTAAAATACACATATATAAATTATTGTGAAAATTAAAATACTCCATATCAAAGGGTTTTTTATCATTTGTACTTGTCTCAACTTTGCCGAGTCCCCACTGTGCTGTAAAACCACTGTTCAAGGATTATATTTTCATTTTTTAAGGAATTATAAATAGAAATACATTTCTTTTTTTAACTTTGGAATGGGAATTAGAGTACATTATTATTTAAAGTGCATTTTCTAAAGGCTGACTTAATTTTATAACTGAATAACTGAAAAAATGTTGACTTGTCTAACAATTTTTTGTAGTTTTAGGAAAAGTAATTTTGAAACTTTAGGTTATTATCTTCCCTCATTTATTTAAGTAATAATTAGTTCAATAAGAAAAACAATAAATACATAGAATAAATTTGTGCATTTAATTAACTGTATTTTATAGTAGCTATTCGAATTTATTAAGTATCAACAAGTTTTCACGGATAACATTTTGTAGTTTCTGCCTGCTACGTTGGTAACTGTAGCTTATGTTGTGATAAGGTTATCTTTTTTATTATCGGGCTAAGCCTTGTACCGCATATTTCTGCAAATGTATTATGGTACATTTGTAATGTGTCATTATTGTCATTGCTGACAGGTGATAAAATGTTGAATTTTATGGATATCTTTTTTGTTTTACTTAAAAATTCCTAAAGAAGTCATTAAAAATGAAGAATTTTTTTTAAATGTGTCTTAGTAATTATTAACAATTGGCATGGTTTTTTTTATTATTAAATTTAATTACTAAGATAAAAATTTATTTAAGTTTTTTATAAATTAATTTAAATTCAATTTACAATGGAAGGAACGTTAAGTAAATGGACTAATGTAGTAAAAGGATGGCAGTATCGCTGGTGTGTTTTGGATGATATTTCCGGGACTTTATCTTATTATACTGTAAGTACCTACTTAAAAATTTGTAAACAATTTAATGTAATTCATGAAATATCATATAGTATAACAGTTATAATTTTAAGTAAGTGTATTAAAAGGTATCAACATACCTGATTTTGAATCTATTTACTTAAATTACATAAACTAAGGCATCTCAAAATACACAATTCTTGATAAATTTAGTATTAATGTATTTTATCAACTTTCTTCAATGACAAGTAGAATTTTTCAAGATATGTTTTATGTGTTTTTATAGGTAGTATTTTTATTTAAGTTATTAAAACTGTTCATTTATTAGTTATTTGTTTATTAAATAAAAGAATACTCATCTAGTGGTGTAGCTACAAGTATCACACCCTCCTTTACAGTAAACTGTAAACATGGATATATCCTCAAGCACTTCAAGCAACAAATTTAAGTTATTACAAAATTGAATATCTATAAAAGCTATTTTCTTTAAATCAATCAACAAAAGAAAATTTCTTTAAATTCAAAGACATGATGTTATATTTTTATTTTGCTAATATGTATTGTTTTTCTTAAAATGTTAATACAAGATATTAATGTTGAAATTTTGTTGATTATAAAGTTTTATTTTATCATTGAAAAACAGTTCTATGTTAATATTTAGTTGGTTGCTTCTAATTGTCTATATATTTCTACATACCTATGTAATTTGAAAAGAAATCCGCCGAAGTTATATTAAAATGCAAATAGTTTTCTTTCAATCTTTATAATGAGTGAGTTTTATGCCTATTTCTTATAATATTTTAAAGTTATTTGATAGAACAATAAACATAATTGTTTAAATGTTCCAATATAGTTAATATTGTAGTATCATTAATATTATATTTACTAATACATAATTTGTATTATGTAAATTGTTAAACCACCATGGACTTCTTGCATAAAGTTTACAAAATTGCAAAAAAAAGTATAATTATTTTTAAATTAGCTAATTAAATTTCAAATTATTTATTTATTTAAAAATATTATAAACTATTAACATAATAGTTATTTAAATTCTTTTAAAAGTATAATAATTGAGTTAAAATGTTTTATCAAAAGTCATATTTTATAATTTTGGCTAATGATAATAAATATTATTGTTCTTAACATTTGATTCATATAAAAATTTACATTTTAGTTAAATTCTTTTTAAACAACTTCTAGAAAATTTTTTATTAACACTTTTTATATAAGTCCAATATATCTCATAATTACAATTTAATTTATTGGTTTTTTACAAATAAATTTGGCTCGACAGATTTATTTTTTCTATTGTATGTTTTTCTATAAAACTTATAAAAAAGATAAAATAAAACAGTTATGTCAGGAACTGTTCCATAAACATACCAATTAGGAATGTCACAAGTAGACGATGCAGCTTGAAGTGTATGAATTACTAGGATTCCAAACTGAATCTACAAACAAAAGTTATGAAAAAAATTAAACTTTTTATAAAATTAAAAATTTCTATAAATACCAGTTGTATCATTGTTATGTATTTTTTGAACTTATTTGCTATTTTTTTATAGTGTGGGCCTAAACTTGACAATTCATAATATGAGTACATTACAATGTGTACGAAAGAATTGACTAAAATTGGAAAAGACGCCATGCCACCTTAAAATAATTTTAAATTAAAAACAAAAAATAAGTTTAGTATTTAAAATAAAAGTAGTATTAAAAGTTATCTTTAAAAATTAAAAAATGTCTCACTCTTTTAATGTAAAAATAATTTGAAAGTATAAGTATATAAAAGAAAAACAATAATGTTAAATCTAATGAATATTTTTTTTTGTTCATGTTAATTAAAAATATAATCTATTACAAAGAGAAAAAATTGTTCAATATTTACAATATCATTGTAACTTAAATTCATTAACAAATTTACAATGTTAAGGCATTTTTTAATTTTCAGGAATATTACTGAAATGTTAAAATTCTAGAGAAAATTATAACTTATGACTACTCTGGTGTAGTTTATATAATTTAAATTAATGAATTATTTAAAATAGTTAAATTGTCACCAATAATTTTTCTATTCATACCTGGAAAAAATTTTGTAGCTGCCCAAGCTAAAATGAATGTAGATGCATGATGATAAACGTGTAGACCAGATACTTGGTTTGTTTTTTTTCGAAGAATAAAAAATATCTTGAAAATTTAATTATATAATTTAGAAGTTATGTTATAAAAATTATAGAATAATATAACCTTAATTTTTAGAGTAGTTAGAACTAGTAGTAATAAAATGATATTACGAATTATATTATTAATATAACTGATAATATCAAAAAATAAAACAATAACATTTGAAATAATAAGATGAGTGTCATCATATTTTTACTGAGAGTATGCTCTCTCTCTAAACTTATTATAACAAGTTTAAATGTGTATGACTACTTCATCTATAATGAAATAATTTAAAATTACAGGATTTCCTCTATAGTAACTTTAATGAGGTATGTAATCAATGGCGCAACTACTGAGGGTCCTTCATAACTCCTAGATTCTAGTACATATAATGAATTTATAGTTACTATAACTTGTATTTTCAATTAAATATTTTATTTAAAAAAAAAATTTATCAGTTTTTTTTTTATATTTTGAATTACGTTAGATTATACTAGTATTGTAGCTAAAAAAATCGTTATTTTAAGTATACTAGGATATTTCAATGTTAAGCTGTCGATCAACCACAATCATTAGCTTGGTTATCTAGTCAACAATAATACAGGCATTATACATTATATCATTATATAATTATCTATATTATATGGGGCATTGTGGGTAGGTGAGGTTCCCCCACAGCTTTGTGAGCATTACAAAATTTTAGTACCTACTGGATTTTTATATAGTTGCGCCGCTGTGTGTAAACTAAAATAATTACTTTAATATTCCAGTATGACCTGTGCCTTTTTCTTGCAAAAATAACTAATAATTAAGGTTTTTGAGAGTTGTTTTTAAAAAATTTTTAGTAAATATTTTATGAAAAATTTTATATAATAAATATAAGACATCGTGGCTATTGATTGAATAATATTTAATAAAACTTACCGTTTCTAAAAATTCCACTAATTTTAACATATATGTCCACCAAAACAATTTTGCTAACTATTAAAAGTGCAAAGCTCCGTGATATTAAATAATAACTAATATTGTGTTTCATAAATATCATTCTTTAACTTACGCGATTTGATGTTGGCGATGTATGCTCGACTGGTTCGCATCCAAGTGTGTACTCAGTAGTCCATCCAGAAATAATTATCTTACAGGCAAATCATTTATATTTATGAATAATAAATTATATTAAATGTAAACAGATTTTTATTAATTAAACTTCATCAATTTCTTTTAAAGTGAAAGAAAAAATTGATTATTAAATGTCTTTTATCAAAAAGTTTTTCACATAATTAAGTTGATTTAAAGTAGGTTCTTTTGAAAAAGTGTATAATTAGAAGATATATGCTAACAATATTATTTTTCTTCGTGAATAGGAGAGTAGTAAATTTTATTTTTTGGATTTATCTGATCACTATTCTAATACACATTTTTTTTATGAGTATGACCGTTATAGTTTTATACATCTTATTGTATTGTATATAATACATCATATTAATGATAAATATAAATTTTAAATTTATCATTAATGTGATAACAAGAAATCTACAGAGTATAATTATTGGATAGATTCATGGATTATTGTAAATAAATTCATATATATATATATATATATACAAGGTGATTTTTTTATCATAACCCACTCAATTACTCACAGAATAAATATATTTAAACATTTTTTTTTTTTTTTTGGTTATCTTTAGTTACACATTATTCTTGAATTATTAACTATGTAATACTTTTTAAGTTTATCCCTTATGCCTTGTAAGGGTGTCAACTTTGTTTTTTTAAATGGAAACTCATATTTTTAATTTAATAAAATGTTTGAGTTTTTAATTTAATAGTAAATGGCATTTGAATTTTTATTATAACTTTATTCGTTTATTAGATATAAACATTTAAAGTTTCAAATTTTTGAGTTAATATTACACATATATAATACACAAGGTATTACAAATACAAGTAGCTAATTGGTTTTTTATGACATCAGTATTCGCAGATACACAGCATTGTTATTATCAATGGTAGTAAGGCACATTGTTATGAGTTCATAAATACACTAAATGACTATATAAAAGTTATATCTATTGATAGTCATAATTGATAATAAACAATCCGTGACTGTGACAGCGATATCTTAAAAACCATTTAAATGGTTTTAAGGAATGAACTTAAAAAGTATTACACAGTTAATAATTCAAGAATAATGTGTAACTAAAGATAACCAAAAAAAAAAATGTTTAAATATATTTATTCTGTGAGTAATTGAGTGGGTTATGATAAAAAATACATAAATTGTATATATTAGGGTGACTCTTACAAACTTTCATTGATCGATCTCCGTACCCACCAATTTATTTCGTTATTATATAAAAGTCATTTGGGTAAAATTTGGTTTTGATAACTTTCCCCTTTAAAGTGTCGAAACGGGATTGAAAATTAGCTCAAAAGGGTAATTTTTCAGTTTTTGATCATTATTTCTAACATTATAACTAACACTCTTAGCGTAAAAATGTATAGAATATAAATAATAAATTTTAATATATTCTTTAAAAATCGTATTTACAAAAATTTTCTAAAATTATTTTTACTTGCTCAAAAAAAAAAATGAAAAATAAAAAAAATATGTTTGCTAAAATTCACTTTTTTAATATAAATCACTCTTTAAAATAATCACTTAACAACAAAATGTTTCGTATAAAAAATATGTAAAATTAAATTTTCTAAAATATTAGTCTTTTGTGAAATTGTAGTCAGTTTTATAGTTTTGTTGTTATCCCGAAATTTATATATACATTTACATTTAGTCTCACACGTTAATCCTATGTAATCACTTTAATGTTATTTTGTTTTAAATAATTTTACGTATTTTACTACTTTTTGCATAAGTATATAATTTTTCATAATGTCATTAGTATTAGCTGATAGCAGCGAATTATTCTTACTACAAAATTGTAAAATACTAATGCAACAAACGGTTTTTACTCGGACACTTTTATCTCTAATTGTAAACTATTTATGCATGATATTTTNTACAAAATTGTAAAATACTAATGCAACAAACGGTTTTTACTCGGACACTTTTATCTCTAATTGTAAACTATTTATGCATGATAGGTAAATGGAGTGTAATATGGATATTTTATCATTTACAATTATTTGTTGTGATAGTTTTTTTGAACTTAACATAGAATTTGGTATAGTACATTGGGATTCTAAAATTTTATCCACAATAGTTGGAAAACATAAATGCGAATTAGAAGAGTGGGCATTATTAAAAAAAGTTCAAGGCTTCGTATTTGACAAAACAGCGTCTAACTCTAGCCGATTAAATGGCGTTTGTGTAGTCTTGCAGCAAAAATTAGAAAAAAGTATACTGTTCTTAGCATGCAGACATCATATTTTTGAAGTAATATTTCATGCCTTTTTGTTAAATCAAAATTTGTTCCGTCGTTAGGTCTAGATATACCACTCTTTAAGAGATTTGTTAATGACTGGGAAAATATAAATAAAACTGAATATTCCATTTGGTCAAATGACACAATTTTAAATATAATAAAAAATGATAGAGAATATATACTACAATTCTCTGAAAAAAAAATTACATAACGATTTTCTCGCAATGACTATAAAAATTTTTTGAAGCTTATAGAAATTTCATGGAGAAAATCTTAACAAGACTATAACATTTTATCAGCCTAGAGTACATCACTCTTAACAGGTTGGATGAAAAAAGGTATTTATTCATAAAAATGTTACTATTTAAAAAACATTTTAAATTGACTAACGGAAGAAATGGTTCTAAATACAATCTGTTGTTCATTATTAAATGTCAGTCTCAAGACTGGTTCACTGGACTTAATTCAATTGAGTTTTTTTCAATTATTGATTATCGCTTAATCATAGAACAAAAAGAAACATTAAAAATTAAAAATTTTAAATAGAACTGCATTATTTGAAGAAATAGGTGATAAAAAAAAACTTAATTTAAAAATTAATGATTTATCACATTTTTTCTCGAAGGACTTACCAGTTGACTTAATTACAAATATGTATTCATAACTTTCTAGTCGATTGAACAAAAAAATAGACTCAAAATTTTGAGAAGAAAATGAAGACTTCCAAAAAGGTAAAAAAATATTTGCAGCAATAGTAAAAGTTAACGATACGGCTAAGCGTCATGTAAAACTAATGAATAACTACAATAGCATATTAACAAAAGTCGAAGAGCAAAAGTAATTTTTACTACTTGTAGTAAAAATGAAAATATTTATAATTTTTCAAAAGTTTATTACCTAAAATATGTGATAATTATTATTTATTTTTTGCAGTCCGTACAAAACTATCAAAGGAAGTATCCTAGTTATAATCGTAATACGCTAAATAAACAGTTATAATCAATCGTATTTAGATCGTTATTGTTATTAAAACACCAATAGTATACATCTATCTGACTATAATTTTACAAAAGACTAATATTTTAGAAAATTTAATTTTACATATTTTTTATACGAATCATACTGTAAAGTGATAATTTTGAAAGCTATGAATGATTTATATTAAAAAAGTGAATTTTAGCAAACATTTTTTTAGCTTAGATGCGAAGCTGGAGGTATAAGTTTTACTATGATGTGTTTTTTTTTTTTTTTTTTTGTGTCTGTCACTACATTTATTTAGCTCTCACTGGACCGATTTCTTTCAACAGTACGTCAAAAGATCACAAAAAATATCTAGTTGAAGACATTACCCTTAAAAATTGAAAATTGTTTCCGCAAATGGAGGAAATCTCCAAAAAAATTACAATTTCAAAAATCAGTAAATTTTGTCATTTTTTTCACTTTTTTTTTCTTAAAACTTCCATAACTTTTTCAAAAATCGACAAATCAACATAATTTTTTTTATACTAAAACCTTAGATATTTCCCTTTCATTTGATATCATTTTTTTGAAAATTTAATACTTAACCTACTCATTGAGGGGGATTTAAAATAGCAACTTTTTTACAAAAACTAACTTTTTCAACTTAATTTTTTAAAATATTGCGTCCTTTAAACATATATCAAATTAAAGCTTATTTTATGTGCTATAAAATGAAAAAAAAAAAATTTGTCCCGACACTTCATCTTCTGCATGTAGACGGCTGCCGTAGTTAAAAAATCGCTATTTTTGTGTTTAAATTTTCAACTTAAAAATGCTATAACTTTTCGAAAAATGTATGTATCAGCACAATTTTATTTTTCTAAATACATTATAAGTACATCTTTCATTTGACATACTTTTTATTAAAATTGGACAATTTCCCCTTATATAGGGGGCGTTCAAAACTTGAAACATTGTATAAAACATTGAACTTTTTTAACTTAATTTTTGAAAATGTTCCGGAAATACTGCGTCCTTTAAACATATATCAAATCAAAAGTTATGTCATATACTATAAAATGAAAAAAAATTTTTGTCCTGATACCTCATCTTCTATGTGCAAATGGCTGTCGAAATTAAAAAAAAAAATGTAATGTTTGCAATGAAAATCACCTTTTATCGGAATGTTTTTTGTAATTCAAACTGCCATAAATTTTTCAAATATTAACAAATCAAATTAATATTTTTTTATATTGAAACCTTGTGCAATTTCCTTTCATTTGATATCTTTTTTTTTTAAATCTAACACTTATACTGCTCACAGAGAGGATTTAAAATAGCAACTTTTTTACAAAAACTAACTTTTTCAACTTAACTTTTGAAAATGTTTCGGAAATACTGCGTCCTTTAAACATATGTCAAATTAAAGCTTATGTCATGTACTATAAAATTTGTCCCGATACCTTATCTACTATGTGCAAATGGCTACTGTATTCAAAAATATGCTATTTTTGTATTAAAATTCTGGGTTTTGTATTTTATCTTATTTTAAAATATCTTATAAGGGGAATACACTGACTTTCATGAATATTATATAATTTAATTGACATAGAAATGAAAGTTCATGAGACATAAGAAATTAAACTTAATAAAATTTTTTACTTTTTTAAAGTCGAAAAAGTAATTTTTATAGTTGAGTTAGCTTAAATAGCCAATTTTATCACGCGACGAAAGCAACAAACAGTTGCTGAATCGGTAACACTTATGTCTTTCACGTTTAGGGTACGAGGTTCAAATCTGTCTGTGGCATTTAATATTTTGCATATTTTTTTGAGTTAGAATAAAATTTTCAAATCATTTGATATTTATCTCATTTAGATTCAATAACTTCAATAGATATAAAGTATTCTATCACTATAGTCTCCCCTCGTGAGAAGAAATTTATATTCATGTTAATATTATTTTACTATGTGGTTCTTTTTGTGGCTACTATTTATTTTGCCAACCCTCACTAGATCTACTTTTTTCAACGATACGTCAAATTATTACAATTTGTATTTAGTTTAAGTTATTACTCTTAAAAATCGAAAAAATATTCTTTATTCAAATAAAAAGTATCTTAAGCAGATTTTTCATACAAACAAATAAAATCATTAATTTTTAATATTCTTAAAGTATTCATTGTCGAATTAGATTTGATATGATAAAAGTATTCAACTACAAAAGTAAATAATTTTACTTTGTAATTTATTAATTTTTTAACTCTATTTGTGTGTGCTACTACTAGTCTATATATAGATGTTTGATGTCTTTACCTATAATTTGGTATATTTTTTTTATAAATCAGACCCTTTATCTGCCCATAGGAGGGGATTTAAAATGACAACTTTTTCACCAAAAAATTTACTTTTACACTTAATTTTTGAAAGTATTCTGGAAAGTCTGACACTTTTATAAATATCTTAAATTAAAGTTAATATAATAAACTTTATTATGAAAAAAAAAAAATTTCGGACTTTATTTTGTCTTCACAGTGAATATGGCTACCGAATGCTATTTTTGTGTGAAAATTCTCGATTTTATTTTTTACATTTTTAACTTTATAATGCTATAACTTTTTCAAAAAAGTATGGATCAACACAATTTTTTTATGAGAAATAATATTTTTTAATAATCCCTTATTCATTCGAAATACATTATCTTAATCAGGATATNTTAATAATCCCTTATTCATTCGAAATACATTATCTTAATCAGTATATTAATAAGAAAATAGCAGATCATACAGCTTTTGGTATAATTCACCAATTTTTTAAAATTAAACACTATCTAAAGATTTGCATCGAAGTATTTTTTTTTTTTATAATGATTTTAATCACTGTCAGATATCATTATACTTGATCCAACTATGCCACGTCACCACTGTGCCGAGACCCCCCCTGTGCTAGGTTTTTTATTTTATTTTTTTGAGTAAGTAAAAATAATTTTAGAAAATTTTTGTAAATACGTTTTTTAAAGAAAATATTAAAATTTATTATTTATATTTTATATATTTTTACGCTAAGTGTGTTAGTTTTAGAAATAATGATCAAAAACTGAAAAATTACCCTTTTGAGCGAATTTTCAATCCCGATTCGACACTCGAAGGGAGAAAGTTATCAAAACCAAATTTTACCCAAATGACTTTCATATAATAACGAAAAAAGTTAGCGGGTACGGATATCGACCAATGAAAGATTATAAGAGCCACTTTAATATATATTACATATAAAACCATTTTAATGAACTTACCATGTAAAATATTGTAATACATGCTATCAATTGCAATATATTATAAACCTTAATAATTGGCATTATTTTAAACGGTTTTCTATTTTCCATAAATTTGGGTCCTAAGTATAAAACTAAATATAAATAAATTGCAACACACGTTAATGTTGAAGTCATGCCTTGTACCAATGGCCAATTGTTAGTTCTTGAATCTGAAAATATGAATTAAATAAAAAAATAAACAAAAGAAGTAAAGTTCTTTTATCGTGAATATTTTTTATACCCTAAAAAACATGAGTATAATTAAGGTAATACTATAATCTACTGAATGTAATTAATTAATACGTACAATATACGTTGTACATAGTTAATTCATTTTAGGGAGTTGTGAAGTTTATCATTACGTACATTTTTTACTACAAGAATTATGTAACTATTGCATCACTAAATGCTTATAAAATTTTACATTGTTTAATATTAGTTTTAAAATGAAGATGAAAGTGTAAATATTGATATTTTATCCACCAATTTTTTGACCGGCTGTCTGTACATTTCGCATGTTAGCTCTCTAAGAATGTAAATATTTAAAAAATATTCGGGTCTAATCCAGTTTAAAAAACCTAACACAGTAGGGTTACGGCAATGTTGGGCCAAGTAAAATGATACCTGACTGATATATTAACATCATTATCATACAAAGCAATTCGATGTGAATCTGAGATAAATTTCCAAAAAATTGATAAATTTATTATTTCACAATTTCTATTTATTTAAATTTGACTTAAATATTAAAGGTCTGTTAAATTGTTTGCTTAAATGAAAATAATTTTTTTTTTTTTTAAATTGCAATTTTTTTACTTTTTAAAAAAAAACCTTCTAAAAATTGATATAGATTGTTAATAATGTTTTCAAACATTTTAAATAAAGTAATTTTTATGAAGAAATTGTGAATTTTTTTACTTTGACGACCAATTTCTCATAGTAGAACAATCTTTATATACATTTATTTTTAATATTGTAGCATATTTTAAAAATTATAATTTGATATAAGTTATAAAATTCAAACCTTTAGACCTTTTTAAACATTTTAATAAATTGAGTTGAAAATAAAATTACATTCGTGGATGGTATTTTGCAAATCCTTTCTGTACTAAGATTTTTCATTGAATTTTTACAAAAATTATACTAAAAGAAATCTTATTGTCTCTAATATATCATATTTAATTAGAAATAAAATTTTTTTAAATGTCGAAGAAAAAATTTAGAATATGCTGTTTTTATGGTAGCATCATTTTAAGATATTTTTCTTCATTTCTAATAATAAGGTTTTTTTTCTATTTTCACCAACTATAGATACAACTATTTTAAAATTAGGCTTTTTGACGAACAGATCAACAAAATTGATTCAATGAAGGCCGAGAATGGACATAAAAAAAAACACATCATGTTAATACCTATACCTTCTCAGCTTCGTATCGAAACTAATAATAGGTTTATACTCTTTATATAAATTAATAATTAATATAAAAATTTATTTGGTTTTAAAGTAAGAAGAGAATATTTAAAAATATACATTAACTCGTCAGATTTGACATCTTTAATAAAAAGAATATACAGTGATTCATTAAGGATAACACACTCGTTTACTCAGTAACTATTGAAAATTTTTTATTTTTGGTACGGAAAATGTTGTTTGATTCAAAAAACATTACAATAATATGTAGTAAAAATATGATATTTTTCTTCCCTTCAAGGTTAAAAAACATTAACTTGAGTGTTTTAAATGAGAACACATATTTTAAATTTAATAAAATGTTTGAGTTTTTAATTTAATATCAAATGGCATTTGAATTTTTAATATAACTTTATTCGTTTATTTGATATAAACATTTAAATTTCAAATTTTTGAATTACTATAAATGTACAGAGTGTTCAGTAAGTCAAGAAACGGGTTTCTATTGTTCTCATTGTTTGTAACAGTGAGAACAATAGAAACTCGTTTCTATAAACACCCTGTATAATACACGTAGGATTACAGGTAGCTAATTGTTTTTTTATGACATTGCTGTCACAGTAACTGATTGTTCATTATCAATTATGACTATCAATAGATATACTTTCTGTATTGTCAGTTAGTGTATTTATAAACTCACAACAATGTTACTTACTACCATTGATAATAACAATGCTGTGTACCTGCTAATAACGATGTCATAAAAAGCCAATTAGCTACGTGTATTTTTAATCCCTAGTGTATTATACATGTATATTAACTCAAAAATTTGAAACTTTAAATGTTTATATCTAATAAACGAATAAAGTTATATTAAAAAATCAAATACCATTTACTATTAAATTAAAAACTCAAACATTTTATTAAATTTAAAATATGTGTTCTCATTTAAAACACTCAAGTTAATGTTTTTTAACCTTGAAGGGAAGAAAAATATCATATTTTTACTACATATTATTGTAATGTTTTTTGAATCAAACAACATTTTCCGTACCAAAAATAAAAAATTTTCAATAGTTACTGAGTAAACGAGTGTGTTATCCTTAATGAATCACTGTATATTCTTTTTATTAAATATGTCAAATCTGATGAGTTAATGTATATTTTTAAATATTCTCTTCTTAANGAGTAAACGAGTGTGTTATCCTTAATGAATCACTGTATATTCTTTTTATTAAATATGTCAAATCTGATGAGTTAATGTATATTATGAATCAGCCTGTATATATATTTATTTGTAATTTTTTACAAAATTCCAAAATAGCTAATTTTTAGCTTTATCTTACAAAATTTTTGATAGATTGTCAACTTAAGAATAATTATTTATTGAGTTACAACCATTTAAATACATTGAGGGCATGGACCTCAGGCATAGTATATGCACACCAAAGCTAGTTGTAACCACCTGTTATATATTCAACCTATGTATTAAAGTACTTGTAGCCTAATAAGTACTTATCCTAAAGTTGTTTTCGATCAAAATTTGTTTAGAGAAAAAATGGTTATTTTTAATTTTTGAAAAAGATTAAAAATTAAAATGAAAATGTTTTTCTTATTAGAGACAAGTTGTAAAAAATATGCTTTTAAAGTACTTCAATACTATAAAAATTATTTTAAAATACCTTTTCAGCTTCACATAGAAGCTAAAAGAAGTAACATAAAATATTTGCTGAATAAAAATTTATTAAAGATGTCAAAACCAGGTAGAACATTCTGTATAAAATTGTTTTTTTATTCATAATAACATACCTCCATATTGATCACAAAAAGCATCAAGATGACCAAAAAAGTTTTTCACTGTATCCATTATTAAAACTTTTTTGATATATTATTTTATATTCTAAACTATGTTAAATAGTTAAACTATAAACTAAAAGTATGAAAACTACTTTCAAACTAAAACTTATGACTGTAGGTACTGCTAAGTAACTAAATAGAAATGAGCTTAACTACACTAATAGCTAAGATATATTATTGGTTTTTTTAAGTTGATTAAAATATTTATTTTAGTGTAAGATAACATATTTACAGTCCCCTTTTATGTTATTTTTTAATTAGCATATTTTCTGTGCTAAACTACGCTTTTACAGAGGTTTGCACAACTTCCTAGTTATGTAAAATGTAGCTTACAACAATTGTTTATAGGGTTAAACATATAGTACAATATTACACAATATTAATTCTGTTACTAGTTGTTATTTTTTAATAAATACAAATAAAACTTATTTTAAAATTATAAATTAAAATGCATGCAGACACACCTTTCGACAATTAATTCGAAGGTAGGGATAGATATAAATGTGTTGAAGTTTATAGATATTTAGATTGACAAATTATTTATAATATATCGGATGTTTTCATGACTTCAATTTTTGTCTGACGTTTTGAATTGATTATTATTTCCAATTTGTAAATCAGTAGACGCTAGAATAGTTACAAGAAAGGAATAGTGAAAATCAATAATATATGTCTCAGCATTGAGTTCCAAATATCATCCGAAAACTGAAAACGTTGATACATCTGTAAATATTCAAAATGAGGTTAGGCTGTATTATTGATTTTTCATACACATGTAAAGGGTATACAGAAAAATAAGGTAAGTCAATATCTTATAAACTGAAGAAAATGAATTTTAAATTTCAAAACAGTGTTATTTTATAGTACACCATAACTTTTAAGGGCTATTACTTTCGGACACTACTATTTCGACTAGCTCGGCGACTTAAAAGATACATTATGGCATATAGAATATTGTAACCAAAATCTCAATTATCAAAAAAATTGACTTATCATATTTTTTTCGTGTAGTCTTTATATGTTTTATTTTATTACTTTTGGATTTGTATTAAATAAATTCGTGAGTTATTATTTTAATTATTTTTTAATGTCAACATTTTTAAGTATATATAAGAAAATAATAAGTGTATTAAAATGTTTTGTCTATGTTTAATTAATCAAGTTATCACAAGTTAACTAGTCTAAGTCAACTAGAAAATTTGATCCATTTATCTCGCTTTTTAGCTTTTTTTAAACTGTCATAATTTTTTAAAAATAAATTAATCGAAGTAAATCTTTTTTTTATATAAATACCTCAGTTATATCCCATTAGGTGAATATTTTTAAAAATTTGACCCTTTACCTACTCATTGGTGGGACCCAACATAAAGATTTAACCTTTTCAACTTAACTTTTGAAAATGTTCATAAAATGCTCTGAACTTCAAATATCTGTTAAATAAAATCTTACATACATACTATAGGTTAAAAAAAAATTGTTCCAACACATTATTTTCTATTTATAAAAGCCCTTGAAGAAAAAAAATTATTTTTGTATAATATATATGTATACAGGGTGTTCAGTAAGTCAGGAAACGGGTTTCTATTGTTCTTATTGTTTGTAATTTACCTGTTTCCTTACTTACTGAACACCCTCTTTTGTAAAATATATATAATTCAAAAATACCAAAAATAATTTTCATAATATAATTATTATTTTAAGACTTTTAATAGGATGGCTAATATTAAAAGAATTACCGTTGTACAACAACATTATAATGTAAAAATTACAATTCTAAATTATCGAATAACAATTCCCTACTATATTAAGTATTTATTTGTGTATTATACTTATAAATCATAAAACTTGTAATTAGGATATAATAAAGGAAATAGATAGTATTTCATGTTACTTTTGGAATAATTCATCAACTCCTTCTAAAAATCGAAATCTACAGATTTGCATTGAAGAGTTTTTTATGATAGTAATTTTAATCAAATATTATCTGTACTTGTCCCAACTATATCGTATCACCACTCTGTCGTGACCCCACTGTGCTAGATTTTTTATTTTGCTAATTACTTTTTTTAACCTTCACAAAATAAATTATGATTATATTAATCAATATACATTAAGGTATATTATTATTAAGTATATTATCATTAAGGTGTATTATAATTCAAATTTTGCTAATATTGTTTTTGTAAATTACTGATATTATACATTTTATATGAAACATTGATGAATAAAGTTATCAGTTTTACATACTTCCCTAACGTAACATGCTACAGAGGTCAGTGGCCCTCTTTCACGTGTTATGGAGTCAAAGATAATTCTTGGCTAGGCTAATTATGGATGGTACGGGTATTATGGTCCGCTTGCGCCAGAGACCAGACACCACCATTGAGAATATCACAAGAAAAATCTCATTGGCACCATGGGGATTGAACCCGAAACCCCGTGTGCCGAAACATTCGTTTCCACCAACTAGACTAAATCGACACCCATTTTATAATGTAATATACATTTTTTTTACCATAAAATGTTAAAAAAAAAAATTTTCTTTAGTGTATGGATCATACTTTTACTATTATGATATTTGATGAACCATAATTTTATTACTACAAAAAATCCAATCTGGTATATTTATAAAATAAACATATCAATAACACTAAACTTCTTCACATAAATTATTTATTATTATAAAAGTTCTAACATCTTTACATATATTTTTCAGTACGGTAATTTTAAATCTAAAAAAAGTTATTTACATTTTATGATATTAATGAAATATTAGGTTAAAATATAAATTAACCCAAAAAACGTAAAATCATTATTACATTATATTATTGAAAAAACGTTTTATGATCACAGATATATTAAATTTCATGCTTAAATCTAGAATCTTTACTACCTTAATATTAGTCTTGTTTTAATATAAATTATATTAACATAAAACAACATTAAAAACACGTCAATTAAAGTTTTATTTTAATTTATAAAATATTTTACAGTAATTTTATATTTTTAATATTATTAAAAATAATTTATAAAAACAAAATGTTGTTATATTAAGTTGGAACTTAAAATATGTGTTAAATGATCAGTATTTTTTAATTATTTTGTATCTTTATTATACTATTTTTATAATTAACATTTTTTTTAAATACCTATTATTATTTTTAAAAATAAATAAATTTGAGTAAAATATTTATATAGATACATTAAAGTACTTATTGTCGTAATTACAGTTAAAAAACATTGTCGTCATCCAATACTTGTCGTTGGATGTCGAAATTTAGTTTTATTGAATTTATTTTATGCTCAAATTTCTTTCCTAAATAATTTTATCTAGCATCTATTGATTGAATATTGATTTCATTTTCTACCTTTACAAGTCAAAACATGGTGAATATTGAAATTAGATTATAACTTCTTTTTTTTAATTTAAATTTAAAATTTTATTTTTGCTTGCGGTTTTTAATATCATGAGCTCCTTTTTCAGAGTATGCATTATTATAAAAGTCATAAAACATATAAAACACCAGGAACACATTAGGTATGAAAACATATCCGTATATATTAGGTACATTGCAGTCAGGAGCAAAGAAAAATAAACTGTTGACGATTATAATACAAAATTGTACCTAAAAAAAGGTCAAATTCAGTATAAATGCATAATTATGACTTATTATAATGATAATTTTTTAATAGAATTAATGTTTACAAGTGTCAATGTTATGTGTATGACTACAATATCGCTTAACATGATTTTTATGATTATTTGTATGCATTAAATTTGAATAATTTTTAAAAATAATCTTATTTTGTACAGTTTTGTTTTTACCATTTGTATAATTGTTATATACTTCTTGTAAAACTCAATTTTCTTTTGGATCTTAGGTCCTAATGATGACAGTAAATAATAAAAATACATCATCATATGAACAAAACAATTTAATATCACAGGAATCCGTACTACGCCACCTAATAAAAATTGAAAAATTAACTTAACATCATTGATTATTCATTGAGTTGATATTTTTTAGAGGAATTGGGTTATAAGTAAAGAAAAGTATTCGAACTTCAATTTTTTCAATTATTTTTTCAAAAGAATACTATAACATTTAAATTTATGATTCTTTTTTACGAGTTATTTATAATTAATTAACCTACATAAAGAATTGAAGTAGACTCATTTTTAAAAGGTTTATAGAAAGGTAATGTTTACCGCTCACAGTAACTTCATTTTAATTGATGAATAACTTAAAAAATAATTTTTTCTCTCCATAATAATATCATGGAGAGGTATAATTAATTCAACAATCCGTTTATCGTAACCTATTTAATTATTTGAAAAATAAATACAATAAATAAAAAATATATGTAATTAAAAAAAGTAAAAAAAAGTTTTTTAAATATTGTATTTATAAGAAGAGTAATTGAGTGGATTATAATAAACGGATCACTCTATTTATATTACATAGTGTTTAAAAAACAAATAAACAGGTTAATTATTACAAACAATTGGCAATCCTTATTAAAAACCTGCATAAGTTATATAAACACGAGATGTATATGTTTTAAAAAATTTTATGCTACCTAATATGCCAATTTAAAGTTGTGTGATTGATTTGGATATTCGTTACTTTTTATATAATTACACTAAATTTTTGTTATTAATTTCTAATATTTTAAGATTATTTTTATACCTGGATTTATTCTAGTAGACATCCATATTATCATGTATGTACTCACATGGTGGTAAATATGAAGAGCTGAAATTTGATTTTGCTTTTTTCTCAAAACAAAAAATACCTAAAAAAAATAATTTTAGTTGTAGAACTATCAATAAACACATGAGAAGTATATAAATGTATAAATGATTACAGTTTCAATGTATTCAGTTAATTTTAATAGTTTTGTCCACCAAACTAAGCTAGCAATCTAAAAATTTACACGATTCAATGTATTAATTGTGAATTTTAAGTATTTTTTTAATACAGTTTTGTATACTTACATGTATTGACATTGGATCATTTGAGAGATCTAATGGGTCACATCCAAATTTAGGGTTTGTCTTCAAAAACTAAAATTCAATTAACATTATTTAAGCCTAATAAAAAAAAAGTTTTGTCCAGCTTAATAATATTATGTTCAATGCAATACTGATAAATTAATAACAATATAATTATACCATATCATAAAAGAATATTGTGTTTAATGCAATATAATATTAGTATAGTATTACAATAAAACATCTCTTAAAAGATTCTTTCCATAAAATTCCTCATGTAATTGGGCATTTAATAATAATTTTTAAGACTCTAAAATGAAAAATTATTAAGAAACTAAAACTAGAATATTAGTATTATATGAAACATTATATGACTACACATCAGTTTAAAATAAATTACACGTTATGTAACAGTTGTGTACGCAGAGTTTTTCAAGGGAATATCATAACATATAGTAATAAATAACCTTTTTGTATTTATCATTAGCAAACAAATTATTTCCCAACTAGTTTAATTAAATTTAGTTGATAATTAGAGGATTTTAAGTTTGTCACAAAAGATGTACTTTTTAAATTTATCTAGCAAATTTACAAATTCGATGATCTTTTTTAGCCATCGTTTCATAATTAGAAAATATGACTTAAATAACGTAAAAGTCTTTACAAATAAAATGTTGCACTTCTTCAAAATAGTATCATATCCTCATAAGACCCCTCCTTAAATTTGCCACTGATACGTAATCAAGGAACTGTTATTTTTTCAAGATTTGAAAAATAAGAAATGTAAAAGAGTATTTATTAAACTTTAATTGTTCGTTTTTGCTTTCATTTGGAAGTTTCACTGCAAATTTATTAATTTTTATATTTTAACCATTTTTCTTATCACATTTAATATATTTATTAAATTACCGATATGCTCAAATAGGTACAGGCAAGTATTTGTCCTATGTTATAAACCATCAAGATTTTCCTTAACTTATATGGTTTCTTATTTGTCATGTATTTTGGACCTATAACCTTGATAAAAAATACATAGACTAAACTTATTAATGTAGGATATGCTGTTGTTGACATCATAGGCCAATCTCGCGTTCTATAATCTAAAATAAGAACTTAGTAACATTTTCAAAAATCTAGTTTTTCATTAATAACTTACCGGAATAAAGTAACTCGTCAATACTTTTAAACCACGACATTTTTGTTTAAGAACTTATCTTAAATTATTTTATTAATGAACTGTATTATATATTTGCTTGTATATAATTTACTTACATATCATTAAGAGAATATTTAAAAAAACCATAAATTCAAACCTACATCTAAATTTAAAACTATTCTAACTGTATTTCAAATTTCCTAACTACTAAAACATTGCACGGCTGTTCTGTATTAATCAATCAAAAAAGTTGTGAACCCATTATTTTTCTTAAATAAGTATGAAATTATTAATATTTTTAATTTATGCAAGGCTGGTGGTTAGTATTCATTATTTATTAAAGTACTTCCTGCTCAACAAATGTTTATGTCATACTTTACATTAGAATGCACTATTAAAAAGGGCAAAATTCAGTACACTGTAAAGGTCACTTTTTTGTTAGTAAAAAGTTCAATAAAAATAATTTTCACAATTCAAATTAGCTGGAAATCTTGTAAAAGGTTATTTATTAATTAGATGAAATGATTCCCTCCTTTCTTAAAAACACTATTTTATGTAACCCTTTATTAATCCTCCTACCTTATAATCCTTTAAATGATATAATCCCATAGTCGTTTCAACGTGAAATCGTTATAACATTGATATTGAATTTTTATAAGAATGACTATAGATTTCGGCTGATTTAAATTTTAATTGTACTTATTATTAAGTTTTAAAAATAAATTAAATAATTTAAATTTATATTATTTTTAATAAAACATCAAAACCTGTAATTAAAAATTGAATTTACTTAAACATGATTTGTACATGTTAAAAAAACACTAATTATGAAAAAAATAGAACATGATTTAAATTAAATCGTAAGTTCCTTTTTTCATATAATAATTAATTATTGATAAGACACTCATTTTCTTGGAAAATATTGAAAATTTTTATTTTTATAAAGAAAAATATTGTTTGATTCAAAAAACGATAATAATATGAAGGAGCATAATTTTTTTCATCACTTCGAGGATTAAAACTTTAATTTTATATAATGGGAATCGCTATTTTCAAATTAATGATATGATAAAAAAAATTGTTTTCTGCTCTTATAATTTTATTTATCCGATGATCTATTGCTTGTTTAAGTTAAGCGATTTTTGGCCGATATTCTTTGATATTTTGCTGTTTAGTATACATAAGTCATCATTTGTCATGGATACAATTCTATAATATACATTATGCAAGCACCTTATTTTTAATAATTCACGATTAACGATAAATTTGTATTTTAAAACCAAATCTTTAAACCATTATAAACAATAATTGGTTATTCGAATAAANTGCTTGTTTAAGTTAAGCGATTTTTGGCCGATATTCTTTGATATTTTGCTGTTTAGTATACATAAGTCATCATTTGTCATGGATACAATTCTATAATATACATTATGCAAGCACCTTATTTTTAATAATTCACGATTAACGATAAATTTGTATTTTAAAACCAAATCTTTAAACCATTATAAACAATAATTGGTTATTCGAATAAAAAAAATTATAATAAAAAAGAACAAAATGTTATGAACATTTTTTTGTGTTTGTATATGAATTAGTTAGAAATTTTTTCTTGTACGAAAATTACACTGAAATATTTTAATGATATTAGGTTAAATTTGACATAAAAACTTAAAAATAATTTTAAATTAAAATAATTGTTTAAAAACTTTACAACTTTAATTATGATATTTATATTTATATTACAAATAATGTAATTAATAGTTATAGTAATATAAGGAAATAATTGAATTTCTTGGAAATATGACCTTTTCCCTACCATAATCAGGAGTTCAATTTAAAATGTATTCTATAAATAATTAAATTATTGTTATAGATAAATAATTTTTTATACCGCTGTATTACAGTATAGTTCAATTATTAGACATATCAAATTAAAATTATTGTATTTTAATTTTTTCAGACTAGGGAAAAAATGATTCGTGGAGTTCGTAGAGGTTGTGTTCGTTTGAAAGGAGCAATAATTGGTATTGACGACGAAGACAATCTTACATTTACCGTAACAGTAGATGGTAAAACATTCCATTTTCAAGCAAGGACTCGAGCTGATAGAGAATTATGGATACGAGCTTTAGAAGATATAGTTCAAAAACAATTATATGGTTACACAGTTAATCAAATACAAGTAAACGTTTTTTTTTTTATATATATATATATAATCAAAATAGTTTTTATTACAAAAACAAATTGTATTGCGTCCTTATAATCAATGAAAATATAATATAATATAAAATGTAATATAATCAATACGTAGCACTTCTGAATTTTTTACGAATATTCACTATTTAGAGTGAAAAGCAAAAAATTGACTATCAAAAATATTTTAGTCTCATGTTATGCAATTGCAAATATTTTTGTATTCCCAAAATGTTGAGCATATGCTAATGATAATAAAACGACTAATAACATTTCTATTCACCTTAAAAATATAATAAGATTTTAATAAATATTGAAAATGTTTTATTTTTATAATTTTCAAATCTTAAAACACTAAAGTACTTAGCTTTAAATTTCGTATCTATAATTATTTTTAAAAAAAATTTCATCGAAAAAATTTAATATTGTAAAACATTTCTATTTATAAAATACGTATTTAAATGTCAAAGAAATAGATATCACAATTACTTTTGATTTTTTATCTGCTGTTATCAATAATTACTGATTTATTGTTATATTATTATAACTAATCATCCTTTTGAAACACTTAAAATTGCAGTTTAAATAGTATGGATTTTTTATTTATATATTAAATTAGAGGATCATCTTACACCGATTACACTAATTAAGTTAAGACTCTTGCTAGTGGTAGTTTTTATTTTGTGTTGTGTCTTTATAACATTCACTCTTTGCTGGTTTTTTTATTAAATCCACTTCATTATCGATGCATATCCATGAGTTATGGATAAAAATATAAAAACTCATGGGTGGATGTTTAAATGCATTTAAATCTTCAGTTGCAATAAACGTAAAAAACAATTTATTGTTCTATTAAAAAGTATATTTTACCATTTTAAATAAATATAACTATAAATATTAATACAGGTTAATAATGACATTGTTGTACCAACTTTGGAAGCTTTTGATAAAAAATTGGGCGAAGCTGATGCTTATTTACAACTTTTAATTGAACAAGTTAAGGTATGTTTCAGTTTTAAGAGCACAATTATGTGTTAATATTAGTCTAAATTCTTATTATTCTATTTATAGAAGTTAGAGATAAAAATGTGTGTAGTTAGTGAAGAAGATAAAGTGCATTGTGAATGCATATTATTACAAACTAATGTAAGATGAAAAATAAATAAATAAAAATGTGCTATATTTTTTTACAAGTTGAAAATATCCCCTTTTTCAGAAATTAATGGATCAAGTGAAACATTCTATTGTTATGTTGCAAATTGCAAAGGTTGGTTATTAAAATTGTTTCTATATCATTTTGAGAATATATATAGATATTATAGTAGAAAAAATTAATGCTTCCTTAGATCGTGAGAAGGTTAATTGGATAAGTAAAAAAAAAAAGTAATAAGAAATGCTGCTATCTTTAAAATAATAAAACGGTGACTCTTATCAAATTATTTAAAAAAAAACATTAAATTTTTATTTATATACTTTGCTGTTCATAATCAGGTGGTGATCCAGAAAATATGTATGGGGGGGTCATCACATGTCATATGATTGTATGACTTTTTTTTGCTTATAAATATTAATTGATATGCAAAAAACCGTCATAATTTAGTTACGGTAATCAACTAATGTAATGTGTATAAAAATAACTTTACTTTAAAATATAAAAAATTTATAAACGTATATAATTTTATCGGAGTGGTTTTTATTTTACTTATATTAAAATGAGTCATAAATATTAGTAGTTTTTTATCTTAAAAAAAACATTTATCTCCACACTTATCTTCTATGAAAATATGGCTGCCTTTGTTTAAAATATGCAATATTAAAATTTTTTATTGTATATTCTTAACTTTACATAGCCATAATTTTTTAAAAAATGTATGAACCAATAAAATTTTTTTTTATAGATACTTTTTATATACTCCTTTCATTCAACATACTTTTTAAATCAAAGTTAAATAAAAATCTACGATTTTTGTGTAAAAATAAGAAAATTAATAAAATGTTTAAACAAAAACTTATTTGAAAGTATTTCTAAAAAATTAATGTAAACTTAATTGTTGCAGTATTAAAAAAAGGATTAAGGAAGTCAATCCTCTTAATTTTTTATTCAAAAATATTTATTTTGATTCTAAACTCATATAGTTTTAAAAATATTTTCAAAAAAAAAAAATACTATGAAATTAACTGTGTGCATAGTTTTTTTTATTTTAAAATACCATATAAAGAGAGTACACTGATTTAGAAAAAAATTATAGGAATCTAATTGACATAATGTAAAGTTGAATTTATTTTAAATGTTTTGCTACTTTTATATTGAGAAAAACGACTTTGAATTTTCGAACTAGCTTAGATTGCTCTTTTAATCCAAGTACACATGTGTTGTACAGTTGATGCGTTGGTAACATTCAAGTTTCTCAAGCTCTTGGCACGAGATTAAAAACCCCCCTATCGATCTGAATTTTTTCTTTATTCTATTTAAGTTGAAAAAAAATTCAAAATTTGTTTGATTTTTATATAATTTTGATTGAATAACTTCAATGAATATCAGTTGAGAAGAAAGCTGAGAAAATTTAATGACAAACTCTAAAAAAAAGAACCAGTTAGTAAAAAAATTTTAATATGTATAAGAAATTTCTTCTCACAAGGGAAGACTTCAGTAATGAGGTTCTTGTGATATTTCTTGAAGTTATTGAATTTAAATGAGATAAAAATCAAATGAGTTTAAATTTTTTTCTTAACTCAAAAACATCTGTAAGGTATTTTAAAATAAAATAAAATATAAAATCAAAAATTTCAACACAAAAATAACATATTTTGGAATACAATAGACATAAAGAAAAAAATGAAAAGTTCTACTTTCTATATGAATTTTTATGTATTAAGAGAAATAGTCCGATTTAAAAAAAAAGTATATCAAATAAAATACGTATAAAAATACTACTTCTCATGAAAGAATTGTATTGATCCATACTTTTTTGAAAAAGTTATATCATTTTAAAGTTAAAAACTAAAATATAAAATCAAGAATTTTAACACAAAAATAGCATACGGTAGCCATTTTCATCATGAAGACAAAATAAAGACTGAAATTTTTTAAATCTTTTTTACTTAAAACTGCCATAATTTTTTTCAAAAAATTACCAAATCAATATAATTATTTTTTATATAAATGCATCATGTCTTTACCTATCATTTAGTATATATTTTTTTATAAATCTGACCCTTTACCTGCCCACAGGGGGGGATTTAAAATTACAACTTTTTCACAAAAAATTAACTTTTGAAAGTGTTTTGGAAACTCTGTCACTTTTATATATATCTTAAATTAAAGCTAATGTAATATACTTTATCATTGAAAAAAAAAAATTTCGTACTTATTTTGTCTTCATGGTGATTTCATGCTATTTTTATGTGAAAATTCTCGATTTTATATTTTAATTTTTAACTTTAAAATGATATAACTTTTTCAAAAAAGTATGGATTAATACAATTTTTTTATGAGAAGTAGTATTTATATCCCTCTTTTATTCGACATACTTTATCTTAATCTTAATATAAATAAGGAAAGATGAGATCATGTAGCTACTGTGCTGGGTTTTTTTTTTTTTTTTTTAATTACATAATTTATATGTAAATACTTGTTTTTACTAATTAGTCTCGAAAAAAAAGGTGATAGAAAAAATTAATTGCAAACTAATTTGTTTCCAAAAAATGTCCACTTCAAATTCATAAATATTAATAAATAAATGAACATTGTGTTTTTATATTTAATATTTTTATAGAAATTATGTCTTTAGTATTGTTATATTAATAAAATTGTATTTTGAACGTACAAGTAGGATTTGATATCCAATCACTTATTATAAATTAATAATATTGTAGGTATTAGGCATAGGTAAATACCTTAAATACTACTGTAATGATTATTTCTAGATTCTAAAACGTATAATACTTAACATTTTCTAATATAGTTCTTCAATGTTATGAGGAACACAGAAAAATGAAATAAAAAATAATGACACAATTTTATAATAACATAATCCTAAAAACAAAATTCCAATGACAAAAGAATACATTTTATTACCATTGGTGATAGTTCAAGTAATAAATAATAATAAAAATCTATTTTAAAATACTTTATCATTTTTATGTAGAGTAGTCTGATTGTTTTTCATCAAAACATCATTGTTAATATCATATAATAAAATATCATCATCATTTGTCGTTAATATTAGGTAGTCAAATACATTAATATTAATTTAAGATGTATTATTGAAAATGGATTTAGTAGAACAAATAAAAAAACTTGTATGCAATAAAGGTATTAGTATTCAAATATTGGTGAAGCACTTGCCTCAAGTAGGTTATAACAATGAGTGAAAATAAATAATGTATAATTCTATAAAATTAATCTTTTTTTTTTTTTTTTGATAATGTCTAATGTGTTTGTTAAAAGTTTTCTAAATTATAATTTTTTATGATTATTTATGCCAAGCAAATCCATGTCAAAAAAATTTTTTTAAGTTGCTTAAAACTTTTTTTTTAAGAACACAGCATTCCCTCCTAATGGTGCATATAGAACTACTTCTGTGTCAACTGACTATGATTTTCCAAGTTTAGAAGGTATAAGTTTGTATATTTGTTTCCATTCATTAATATTTATATACATATAAATTATTATATTAATATTGTGTTTCCTGTTTATTTAGGAAGTATAGAATATGGCACCGAGTGTGAAGAACATTCAAGAAGAGATTCTCAACCTTTAGAAAGTGGTAATAAAATGAATAAAATAATTCATAAGACAAAATTTTACCATCACCTTATAGTTTATTGGTATAAAACATTTTATTATGACTAATTTATTGTTAGATGTTCCAGAAGTTTCTTACTCTTCATCAGAAGATGATTTTTATGATGCTTATGAAGATGAAGAGGAATGGTCTAAAACAAATGAAGTTGAACCTGTACCTGCGATGCGCCGTAAATACAAAAATAGATTGAATATTAGGTAATTTATGTATAAAAGTTTAATTTAAATTATAGTAGTGAATTTATTCATTTCAGATTATTCAATTTCAAAATTATACTTCTTTTACAAATCTTTTAATTAGGCGTTTAATATATATTTTTTTAATCAATTTTTTTATTACTTAACATAAAAGTTATATGCATTAGATTTTTTTTCTTATGTAATAATTACATAACAACTATGTAATTTTTCTTTTATGCCTGGTATAAATGACATTAAAAAAAAATAACAGGTTTTCGAGAGAGCCAATTTAAAGTTTAGGAATTTTTTTCAAATAGTGTGTGCATTTATACATTACTTTATATAGTTAGTAATGATAATTTCCTGACTTTTTATGTATTTGTTAAGTTATCAATGACATAATCATAAAATTAATCAATTTTGAATGTCTTTAGACAATAAAACATGATTGTTATCATGACCTAAGGCTTATTATTGACAATTAAAACTTATTATTAATAACACAGTAATAGCTGAAATACAAGGTGCCATTAAAACCAATTAGATATTTATAAAAAAAACTGAGCAATCAATATACAGTGTATTTAAACATTTTTCTAAAATTTATTGGTAGAACATTTGAATATAAAGAAACAACACAATTTAAAATGAATAATATCTTAGCAAAAATAAAATAAAATTCCTTAGTAATGAAAATAAAATAAAACAGTTTCTTAGAATTAGAGTTGTATTGAGTTTTACAAAAAAAGTATTTAAATTTTATAATACAAATGGAAAATATTTTCAATATGTTTATTATTCATCAATGGCAACTTCTATGATATTTATATAGTTATCATGAAGATCTTTTGTAGATTACAGTTTCTTATAAAATTTATGAATGGTTATCGAATTTAGAGGTAATGAATCTATTGAATCTTTTATTTTTTCAATATTGGTGATATCACACTTAAAATTAACATTTAATAACCTTTTGCTCTTCTATGAAGAAAACTGAACTTTTTAAACTGCTAATTATCTCCAAGGGTAATTTTATAATTTAAAACACTTCTTTCAGATTTTCTATATTACAATTAAGAAACCTCTTGTCATTTTAATTTATCTCGTTCAGTAGTTAACTTTTGTCTTATTAAACAACTTTTTAATAAACTAGCAAAATCAATAAAGTTAAAATCAATAAATATTAAGTAATTTCTATAATTTAAAACTTATTTGTCTTTCCTGTTTTTCTTACAAGTTGATACCAATTGAGAAGATGTAAACTAGGAAATTTTCTTTTTCTATCATGAAGTGGTCTACAGCAACATCTCATTAATGTATGCCCAGTAATTAAAAATGTATGTTTGATAATTTTCCATAGTTTTTATACACATTGCATATAAAAGATGATCAGCTAACTATGTCTCACATAATGTCTTTAAAAATACAACTGTTATAAACAATTTTTTTTTTTTAAATCATTATGAATCTTTAATGAGCTGTTTCACAAGAAAAATTAAATTTCTATCATCATCCTTTATACTTAGAACTTGTATCAACTTCATGTTTTCAAATTACAGCCCTATTTTTTTTTACACCATTAGATTTATTTTAATAAAAAAAATGTTTTGTAAAAAATATTTAATTCTATTTAATATTAAGCGCTCTACAGCTCTCTAAAGTTTATGGTTTATTAAGAAAAAATTATAATTGGCTCAAATGTTATAGGTCCTAAATCAATTTACGCTACTATTTTTCTAAATTAGCATATCAAGCTTACCTTAGTTATTCTGACTATGTACGTTGACACAGTAAACCGGTACCTCTTATCGCAACATAAAATAATAATGTGACTGTGTTAGAAAAACTACTGAATTTTTTCATCAAATATTGTAAATTTTAAAATAGCGTATCTTGTTTAAAATTCATCATATTTTACTTTTTGCTAAACATTTTTTTTGACAAACAAAAATATATAAAAATAATATGGGGTTGCCATTTGAAAATCTGAAGTTGATACAAGTTCTAAGTATAAAGGATGATGATAGAAATTTAATTTTTCTTGTGAGGCAGCTCATCAAAAATCCATGATTTAAAAAAAAATTGTTTGAATGACCACAACTGCCTTTTATATAATATAACTGAAGATTGTTATAAAGGTATTGTTAGACATTGTTTCAGATCATAAGACTAACATTTTTGTGTAAGATTATTTATTGAAATTTCTTTATCCATTAATTTTACTTGAGTCAGCAGCTTTCTTTATTGTACGTTCCTCTTGTAACTTGTATCTGCATGTGTAGTACATCACATCACATGTGCAATGCTAGGTTTTTTAAAAGTAAGTTTTAATTTATGAAACTCTTTCATAAATAACTCTTGATGCAGGTTCATCAATACTTTTTTTATGCATTTCACCTCTAAAAAGAGTTTATTTCTATGTTAACTGAAGCCAAAATATATAATAGAAAATATTTATATTTGTTTTATGAACAATGTCACGAGAGGACTTATATTTATTGTACCAAAAGATAATTCAGCCATTAGAAGATACTACTAAAATTTCATTGTATTTATGAGATAACTACAAATATTACGACTAAAGATTCTAAGACCAAACAAATCTAGATATTTTTCTGAATTTTTTAATGTTTAAAGTAAAAAGTGACTAAATTTTACTAATGTCGTTTGTACAAAGCATCAAAGATTTGATATTTTGAATTCTTGCGTTGCTTATTTTTATGAAATGCTTAATTTTACTGTTATATTTTATTCTAAACGTGTTCGCACAAGATATTTTTCTGCATGAACACATGATTACTATACTTTAGTCCTAAGGAAACTACACTAATTTTGAACTTTGGTTAAGGTTAACGAACATTATCAAATCAGCTGATTAGCAATGAATTGTTATCAGGTCATAATCGAGTTTTTATTGTTCTCTCAGCTCATATTTTAGATTTGTTTCTATTGATAGAATTAAATAATCGATTATAAATAAAGTGATTATACTACATTGAAATTCTTCTTAAAATTATTACGAAAAACTTAAAGAAATGAACTGAAATTTTTACTGGTTTATTGGTTAACAAAAAAAAAGTATCCAAATGATCTCCCGGTTGTGGAATTGGGCTAATACCCCAACTGGAAGTCCAGAAATTATAAAATCAGTCGATATGAGTCAAAACCAAAGGTTTTAAACAATTAACATATTTTCTGTTATTAGACATTAAGGTGTTTTATTATATTTATTAAGAAGCCATAATCAGAAAATCATGAAATTATACCATATATAATATAATATCCATTCATTTTGTTTTTTATTTTAAAAAAAATAACCTAAACATTATTTTTATTTATGTATAAATATTAATATTTCACTTTGAATATTTAATAACAAGAAATACATTTTATTTTTACTTTTTTTGATATATCTAATATGTCTATGTTATCATGATTTGAGTTAATTATTATTTTTACGTGGCATTGTTTATTCAAGTATTATCAATATTAGTATTTAATGTGATGTACTTATAGTACTTAATTATTAATTAAAATATTATTACCTTTTGTTCAAATATTACATAAATAACATTATTGAAATGAATTAATTTTTTTTTCTTCTAATATTTAACATTTTTATATACTTTAATGAGTTTAAGTAGAAAATGTAGTGTATAGTTCATATTTTTTTTTACTTAGATAATTTTAATAAAGGTAATTTATTAGATATTTATTTAAAATGAAACTAATTGTTGATCCATTTTTTTAAAGAAACTGTCTAACCTAAAATAAATGCTAATATTAACAAAATTAAATTCTTTTAAATTATAAAAAATACAATAACTCATATTTTATTCCCTCGAACACATTTTTTATATTAATACAGCTTTATAATTTATAGTCAATTATACAATTATGCCCTACGGTACATTTTGTTTTTTTTTTTTTATTAGCTTTGTTTAATATTCATCTTAGTGAATATTTTTATGCCTTCATTATAATAACATTTATAATCCTGATTAAAAATTGTTGTCGCCAATTAAATTGTTAGCTATAAAAACTTTTTAAATGTGTAGACTTATACAAGTTAAATCATTTTACTATTACCTGATAAAAAATTTTCTTATGAATTTAGAAAATATCTCATTTTAATTACTACTTGAAACTCTTTTATCTTAATTGTGGTTTAAGAATAAGGATCTCATATCTTTAATAAATTTAATGTGTATTATGAAAATAAATTTTTAGTACTGTGTGATATACTAATAAAAAATATTTTTTTAGTGGAAATGATGTAACATTAGAAAAATCTAATGAAGTTATTCCAGGTACATCTGCTTTAAGTGAAATGCCATTAGATACTACTGACCAAAAGTCTTCAATTTTTTCAAAAAACAGGAATAATACTAAAGAAAATGTATTACCTACTTATCCTGATGGTTCTATAGATTATGATTGTAAGTTTTATTATAGAAAAAAAAAATTTATAATATTAAGTTAAAACATTTTTTTTTTTTTTTAGCAATTTATGAAGATCAAGAAGAATCAGATGGTTAGATATCATTATTAATAGTAAAATTTAATGTTATTTTGTTTAAAAGAATACATGTGCATTTTTCTCAACTTTTTAAGAGACACATATAACTTTTTTTATATTTATTACTTAAATATCTACTTCTTTGCCTTAATCCCAACTACTTGGGGTCGGCAACTTCTTTTATATATAATATAATTATTCTTATATAATTATATAATAATTATTATAATACTAACAAAAATAAAACAATAGTCTCCTTTTAATTTATGATTGTTTTATTATGTGAGAAAATGAATAAAGTGACCCGTTTTATCATAAACATGTCAAGTAACAATGTGTTAGTATTGGGTTTGAATCTGTTCAGTCAAGTTTACCTGTTCGTTGTAACAAATAGTAGTTTATAAAAGAAAATATTAAATAATAATAAAGAAATATATATATATTTTACTACAATCATTTTATTTAAAAAAAAATTATATTTAATAATAAACATTTTTTAGTAACTATGCAAGGATCAGTAGTTACTCATTTAATATCTCAAGTGAAGATTGGTATGGATCTAACTAAAGTAGCTTTACCGACTTTTATACTAGAAAGACGTTCATTATTAGAAATGTATGCTGATTATTTAGCTCATCCTGATTTATTCCTTAAGTAAGTTAATAGCAAAATTATTTATAAAATAATATATATTAATGCCTTTATGCAAGAAATAGTCAAATAAACATTTTATTTTTTATAACAATAATTTAAGTTTAAAAAGCAAATTAAATGAATACAAATTTTAATTTAACTAAAAAACAATCTATGATTACCATTTTATAAAATTACATTTAAGGTTTTTTAATTTTTTGATGTATTTAAAAATAAAATCACTTAGGCTAAATTTTTTCTTTTTTCATGGTTTTGACGATTTATTTATGCAGAGTATCAAAATAAAATATCTCTATTTTATTTTCTAACTTAAAATCTTAAATTATATTGTATTTAATTTTTTGATTAGAGCTAATGATTTAAATACACCTGAAGAAAGAATGCTTCAAATAGTGCGATGGTATTTGTCTTCTTATCATGCTGGACGAAATTCTTCTATAGCCAAAAAACCATATAACCCTATACTTGGTGAAGTTTTTCGTTGCCATTGGGATGTTCCTGAAATTAATAAAGTAAATTCCAAACAGTCAAATGAGACAACATTACAAACAAATTCAGATGTAATAAGTAATGATGAAGAAAATCCATTACCTTGGACAGACGGAAATCAATTAATATTCTTAGCTGAACAAGTATCACACCATCCTCCTAGTATGTTGCAAAACGGTTTTCCTATATGAAATGTTATAATCTAATGTCTTTAAAATTTCAGTATCTGCTTTTTATGCAGAACATAAAGGAAAAGAAGTGTCTCTTTGTGCTAATGTTTGGACCAAATCCAAATTTCTTGGTTTATCTGTTGCTGTGCATAATGTTGGACAGGGTATCGTAAGGCTTTTAAAACACAAAGAAGAATACATATCAACATTTCCTAGCGGATATGGAAGGTATTAATGATTTAATATTTATAATTTAAGCCAGATTTAAAATACTAAATATTAATATTATTTTTAGATCGATTTTAACTGTGCCGTGGATAGAATTAGGAGGTTCTGTAACAATAACTTGTCCACAAACTGGCTATCATTGTAATATTGAATTTCTAACAAAACCATTTTATGGTGGAAAGAAACATCGTATTACAGCTGAAGTTTTTGCACCAAAAGCAAAAAAAGCATTTGTATCTATTAATGGTGAATGGAATGGCTCGATGGAAGCTAAATATACAGATGGGGTAATTATTAAACGCATTTATAGAATAAATACTTATTTAATATTTTTATTAGTAATAAAAATTTGAGTACAGATAAAACTATTTTTGAAACAGCATCTATAAATGAATTCATACAACAAAAAAAATGATTTCCACATATTAGAGTTAATATTATATTCCACATATTAATATTAATAGAATTTAAAACAACAAAAATATTATCTATAATTTTTTTTCTTTTTTTATAATTTTAATCATTATTTATCTATTTTTAGAGAATAGAAACATTTGTAGATACAAAAGCTATTGAAGTAACTAAAAAAAGAGTACGTAAGGTTTCTGAACAAGACCCTAATGAGTCAAGAGTAATTTGGAAAGAAGTAACATTAGGACTTAAGTAAGTTCTAAAAATGATAGCATTACCTTAACTAATTTAAAAATGAAACTCCCAATTAATTGATTTAAAATAATATCGACATTTGAATTTATTATTCATCTTGTCATTAAACTTATGATTTGTAGCAGTCCTATGGGAGGTTTAATGGAATGACACTCTCTCTTTAATAAAAAAAGCAAATTAAGCAAATTTACCTCAAGTTGATAATAATACTTTCTTTTTTTTTTTTTTTATGTCATCACAATTGACATAGGTAATAACAAAATTTAAGCTCATTCAACATATTTATTTTTTATTATTAATCTATTTTTTGTTATATAAATATTTTCTTTATGTTTCCAATGATTACTTTCCATAATGACTTATATAGTCTTTTATCTGTTAATTACTTATCTTAAATATTCACAAACAAATTAAAGTATTAATAATTTATATTATTTTATTCACTTTTAAATAAAAGTATTTAAGTTAACAGTTTAACTAAAGTCCTAAATTTAATAATCACTGTACACTTTGAACTTTGACTGTAATGATTTATTAGGAATGAGTGTCATTTAAAAATTATTGAAATTTATTTTAATTTTGAAGTATTTCTATATTTTTTAATAAATAGTTATAATTTAAATTTTTAATTAATTTTTTTGTTTTAAGAATTGATAATGTTGATAAGGCTAGTCAAGCTAAAGCTGAAATAGAACAAAAACAAAGAAATGAAGCAGAATTGAGAAGAGAAAGAGGTGAACCTTGGATTCCAAAAGTTTGTATATTGATTTTTTATAGTATATTTATTTGGATTATTATTTATCTAAATAATACCTAAAATAGACTCGTATAATTATAAAGTTATTTTTAATTAACCTATTTATTATGTATAATTTACACTAACATTTTATTTGTTTTGTTTTAGTGGTTTATTCAAAATGGTGAAAGCTGGGAGTATAAAAATTCATTAGAAAAACGATTAGATGTCACTTTTACTTCACATCCTTCTTGACCTAAATAAATTAATAAAAAAACAATTTTTTTGTTTTTAATTATAAAATTCTATATATTATAATTACAGAAAAATTTTAATTAATCAATATACTTCTGTTCCAAACTTTTAATCCATCGACCTCTTCTTAAAAAAAAAATTGGCAATTAACCAATTTTGTTGCAATCAAACTTAAATTATAATAATTTATAGTATATTGTGTATATTAAACAAAAATAGTGAAATTATTATTTCATTATATTATTGTTACCTGTGTCTATGTTAACTGCATATTAGATTTTTTGAATATGTAACTGTTACATAAGTATTGCTAGCATATTTAGATTTTTAAGTTTTGGTACTGATTTTGTTTGTTATTATTTTATATAATATAATATTAAGTCCCCCGTGAAATCTGTTTACAGTTTATATTCTTTATTATATCTAAACATTAATTAATGTAGTGATTAATTTTCTATGCAATGTGGCAAAGGAGAACAACATAATCTTTATATTTCCAATTTTAATGTGATTAATATTAGTTATGAATTTAATTTTGTAATTTGTTAAATAAAATATCCTTAAATAATTTATTTTTATTTTTCTAAACAATTATAAAAAATTTTAAGGTAATATAATTTGTTCTATATAATTATTTAATGTGTGATTTGTAAAAAAAAACCTGAAAAATATTTTATTATTCATGATTTATTGAATTTGTATATAATGTTAATTACCAATTGATAAAATGAAACAGTTATAATAATACTTGTCGAAAGATAGTATATTTATGTTTAAAAATTCATAACATTAAAAAAAAAAAAACATAATTCATAAAACCACATAGTGCAATATGTTATTTCTATATGTATTTTTTTTTATTAAATAAGCATTTTTTTACAAAATTATTTTTTATAGTTAATATATTCAAATTAAAACTTCATCCAATTACTTAACCTTATTTATGCAATCATGTTTTCACCATTTATTAATTTTATACTGTGTCTACTTTATTTATTGTTAAATAATAAATGATTAATATTGTTATACTTTGCTTTTTTTTATTTACCTAAAATATTTAATAATAACTAAAAACCTTCATAAGTTTTAAATATTGATTTGTTAGTATATTTTCAGTGTTGTTACATTGGAAATTACCGTTAGTATAAAAAGACAATATTTCTTGGAAAAGATAAACAATATATATTTCTTTACACAAGAGTTTAGTATGTGTATGTTTTTTTTTATATTATATTTAAGTTAATTTTTCCAGATGTAACTTGTATATTTACATAAAAAATATTTCCTATCTAAAGTTTCTAGTTTATATTATGATAAACTTTATTCAATTATACAAAAGTATCATAAATTTGAAGTATAATTAAGTATAATTGAATAAAAAAATCAAGTATAACTATTGTATATTTGATTTACCAAATCTTTAAAAACAAAAAGTATTGTTGGATTACTATATTTTTTCTATAAGACTCATAATTTATGCAATTAGTTATTTCTACAATTTTATCTTTGACTTTTATGTTTTAACACATTTTTATGTATATATTCTTTTACACATAGACATTATTTTTGCTTTCGTATTTCGTAGTCCAATATGTACGTATGGATAAACGACAATATGTTAAGCGAGGAATAGTTTATTTATACCGAGTGAGGCAGTCTGTGGGCGGGGCAAAATCCCAGGCAGTGTCCCACAAACGCCGAATCTTCCTCTAGTTGAATATAAGTGTATTTTATTATTATTCGTATCGAAATGGCCTACCCAGAAGTCACAGTAGCAATTGGATGCATATGAAATGTAGTACTGCTAAAAGTGAACACGGGAATTTCTAATAATAGCACCAAAATAATATCGTGCACATAATGACTATAAATGTCTAAATTATATTTTTCATTACACTTGATCAATTGAATATAATCATGCAACACGTGAAGCCATCTATCAAAGGCGATCCTCTGTGTCCTCTTGGATTTCATCCACAAGTTCGCTGGCCAACAAGATGTAAACGATGTTACAGGTGAATCAATAATTTCACTATAGTTATTTTTCATACCTATAAATTTGAGATTGATAAACAATGTGACCAAATAAAATATAACTCTCGTGTAGAATATATTATTTGATATTGATTAGCTTTCATTTATATTAAATTGATCAAGTCCTTAATAAGTTAATAGGTAATTGTAATATCATTTTATAACTAATACGATCTTCGATGGTTATAATTTCACATGGTACTTATAATTAATTATACTAAAACTACTAATGTAATAGTATTTTAAATATAACAATCACAAAATATAAAAAAACATACAATAATTATTTTTATACACTAAATTACAATAAATTATTTTGTTAAGATTGGATAGTAAATATATAAAAATTTTCAATAATTTTGTATGTTAAATATAGTTCATATTTTAATCCAAGGACTAAAACTACTATTTTTTAATGTCTAGTCCTAAGTACTTATTTCTGCACATTAAAACACGTCTCGGAAGATCATATACTCTAAAAAACTAGTTAGTAGCATAGAGACAATTAATACATCAAATTAAAGCAGATATTTTTTTAGAGACTAAATTGTAAACTAAAGGCTAATTTTCCCCCTACCTGATGCCAAAGATTATAATTATTATTAATTTTATTTGTGTGTTACTGTAATTCTTATTTTCAACCAATCCTTAAATTTTTTAGAGACTATAAAGACCATACCAATAGGAATAAAGATAACGGAAAACCATCACTTAGAAAGGATGATGTGACGTTATCAAGCCCTGTATTGACTAATGAGTATGTAAATTAAATTTATCATTTATGGATAAAATCTGGAAAGATTTTTCTATTAATTTTATTTTTAGATTATCAGACCAAAAGATTGACTCAAAATGGTACGAATTACCTAATACTAGTAGTCGTGATGAACAGGTAAAAATAAACAAGAGCTGTGGACCGAATCGAAAATCTTCATCATGGACTTCTACGCCAGATCTATCTAAACTTTCATCTACTGCTAATTCTAAATTTGGTAAACTTACAAACATGTTAAATGATCCAACAAAGTCTAAAATTCATTTTTTTAATCTGTAGACAATTTTGATAATTTTACCAACACGGATTACAAAATTGGAAGAAAAACAAATATACTAACATTTGATACAACTTCAAAATTAAACCTAAGGAATAGTTACAACGGGGATATCGACATTATTACTCCGGTGCATGTTAATATCATCATAACAATGTTAATATTCAATTAGGAAATTTTAAAATCTCGTAGGTTATACTCACATTCATTTTTTTAGAACATCAACTTATCAGACAGTAAGTGCGATCAAAATGACGACGTAATAAGTTTGGCTGATTCCGATGCCACTAATGATACTTTTGCTACTGTCATAAATGATGAAGATTTACACGTATGTAGTTTTAAAAATATCTACATTATTATGTTGTAATCAAAAATATATTATAATTATTCAATATCTAAACATTTTAGAAGAATGAGTATGAAGTTTCTTACTTTACAATTAATACTTTAATTATTGATTTTTATTTTATGTATAAATATTGACTAATTGAATTTTGAATTCTCAAACGTAAAACTTTAGATATTTTTATATGAGGTATGAAATAAAATGTCCCTGTCAAGGATATGATTTAATTTAAAAGTTAAACACAAAAATTATAAAGTAATCTAAAGACTTCGTAATTGTTCACTCAATTAGATGCAGGACCGTCCGAAAGGGGACTGTAGAAGGTGTCACGCCACACAATTAAACCAAATTAAAACGTTTTAGTCGTTAATTATATTAATAATTAAAAAAAAATTATTCAATCAGCAAAAATAAAGTTTATACCCTCCATATTTTGAACTTTGAGACACCTGATTAGGTGTACGTATTTTTTCTTTTCAAATTCATTACATACTATAAATTTTAAAGAATCCAAGATTTCAATCAGAGAAAGCTATACAGGTTACTTAACTGCAATATAATTAAAATTATATTACCACTAAATTATTTAAANAAGTAATACAGGTTACTTAACTGCAATATAATTAAAATTATATTACCACTAAATTATTTAAATAACTTCAGTTGCTTATAATTAATGTTTTTACTTATAAAAATAACAGGACCAAGTCTTAAGTTTAAAAACTGAGCTAAAAATTATGAAAGAAAAATGCGAAAAAGCTGAACGCGATAAAAGCGATGTACTGTTAAGAAGACTAGCCTCATTGGATACAACACCAACATCACGCACAACTGCTTCTGAAGTAATTTTTTGTAAAAAAACGGGAAATAATTTTTTGGATTTTACCAACACGTGTTGGGTTATTAAGACATTTCATCAATAATTTTATATTTGTTAGGAAATTTAAAATAACAATATCAAAATAATTAAATCTAATTTTATTAAAGTAACTTTACTGTTTAGCTATTGAAATATCAAGAAAAGGTAAATGAGCTTAAAATTAACTGTGAAACGCTCAATGACGATAAAAGATCTTTAACACATCGTATAAGTCAGTTGGAAATTGAATTGCAAAAACACAAGAATAATAAACTGGAATCATCGAATTTACAAACCATTTGTAATAAACTAATAGCAGCTGAAACTAAAATCGAAGAGTTAACCGAAGAAAACAATGATCTGACTAAAGAATTGTCCAATGTGGAACAAGAAATAAGAGATAAGTATAGGTAAAATAAAAAATTATAGTCATAAATATGTGCAAAAATAAAATTATAATAAAATCATATTATGTGATTTGATCATACAGGGTGATTTATTAAGCATACGACCTAACAATTTTTCATGAAAATGTATAGACTAAAATGTTTTTCATTTTTACCAACCATTTTAAATATAAAGTTTATTGAGAAAAAATTATTTCTAAGGGTAGATTTTAGAAGTAACTGTTGAAAACTAAATGGGAATTTAGATACTATTATTTTTACTAATTAATAGAAAATGTTCTAGATAATATTTTTTGACAGGTCAATAACCAGTATTGTATTAATACTCTTTAATTTTTCTTAATTTTTAGTTAAAGGTCAGCGAGGTGCGCAACGTAAGAGAATTCTTTTAATATATTTGTTATGGTAAAAATAGAGCGTCATAAACACTAACCTACTTCTCACCTTTTATAAATAATCAAATGCTTCTATCTCAATAAAATAATCATACAAAACTGATTAACGACGAGTTAACATTTTTTTAGGTCATTCTCCATATAACTTTTAAAAGTTACCTCTAAAATATATCTTTAAGAAAAAATTTTCTTACAACAAACTTTATATTTATAATGATTTATAAAAATAAATTCAATTTTAATCTATACATTTTTATAAAAAAAATTACTCATAATTTAACGAACAAATGTTTGATAATAAACTTAATAATTATGTAGAGTTTTGATTAGATGTGTGATTCACATATCAGTAATTTTATTTCATAAAAAAATACATCTATATTACACAAATCCAATTAAATACGTGATTATTATATGGGGTAATTTATTTTAATATCTAATTTTGTAAATAAATATAATTTCATTGCTCTTTTTAGAGAAGAACAAGATAACGAATTTTTAATGCTTAGACGAGATTATGACCAACTTTCAAAAAATTGCCGTATTTTAGCCTTTAAATTGAAAAAGGCCGAAAGGCGCATTGAAGAATTGGACAAGGAAAAGACTGAAAATGAAAAAAATTGCAAAGAAGTAGGTTAATTATATACTTAAAAATGTACATTTTTTATAACTAAATTTAATTAATTGGATTAAATAGCAATAATTGCTGTTAAGAGTACAATTATTGTAAAATAAAACGTAAAATTTATAAGTCATTCGCTGGGAAATAATCGCTACTATATAAAAAGTAAATCAAATCTAACTAACAATTCATAACTTTTAAAGCAATAATCATTTCACTATAATTTTAGCTTCGATGCGAAGCTGAGAAGGTAATAATTTTACCATTATGTGTTTTTTTTTATGCCTGTTGCCACTTTTTCTCAGCTATCACTGAACCGATTTCTTTCAACAATACGTCAACAGATCACAAATCGTATCTAGTTGAAGACATTACCCTTAAAAATTGAAAAAATTTCCCTTGTTCCCCATAAATGGGGAAAATTTCCAAAAAAATTAAAATTTTTAAAATCAGTAAATTTTGTCATTTTTTTTCACTTTTTTTTTTGAAACTATCATAACTTTTTTAAAAATTAACAAATCAACCTAATTTTTTTTATATTGAAACCTTAGATATTTTCCTTTCATTTGATATCATTTTTTTGATAATTTAACACATAACCTGTTCACAGAGGAGGATTTAGAATAGAAACTTTTGTACAAAACTCAACTTTTTCAACTGAACTTTTGAAAATGTTCCTGAAATACTACATCCTTTAAACGTATATCAAATTAAAGCTTATGTCATGTACTATAAAATGAAAAAAAAAATTTGTCCCGACACCTTATCTTCTACGTGCAATCGGCTGCGGTATAAGAAAAATGTAAATAGTAATTATAAAATTTGCTGACTGCATATTGATCTTAACAATTTCATTTTTTTCTATTTCATGATTTCAAATTCAAACTTGTAAGTTAAGCTAAAAGTTATGGTAATAAATTCATTTTTTTTTTTTATTAAAAACTTTCACTTTAAAGGACGAAAAAAAGTAGGTTAGAAATTAATACGTTTAAATAATTAAAAATAAAAACCAATAATAATTTGAAAAGAATTAATTATAAAAATTATGTAATATATAATTAAAAATATTTTGCTTTTGTAATTTTAGAACAAGTATTAATTGAGCTAAAAACATTTTAATTTATAAATTGAGTATGTAGCTTGGGATGGTATACATACTACACAATTATTTATTTTAAGTACAAAAATTGTAAAAATAATCATTACAGCAAAATGATTATTGGATTATAAGTTAAAAGCGTTATTAATGAGATCTTGTTTACCTTATAAAGTACGTTTTTCCTATATAGGAATGTACCAATAAAGTTATTTAACTACAACTTTTATCTTTGTTTATATAAAAGTGATTAATGTAAAAAAACCCACNGTTCATTTTTGAAAAAGTTATGGCGTTTTAAGTAAAAAAAACCCAGCACAGGGGGGTCGCGGCACAATGGTGACGTGGCATAGATGGATCAAGTATAATGATATCTGACAGTGATTAAAATCACTATCAAAAAAAAACGCTTCGATGCAAATCTTTAGATAGTGTTTAATTTTAAAAAATTGGTGGATTATTCCAAAAGCTGTATGATCTGCTATTTTCTTATTAATATCCTGATTAAAATAAAGTATGTCGAATGAAAAAGGGATTATTAAAAAATATTATTTCTCATAAAAAAATTATGTCGATCCATACACTTTTCAATATGTTATAGCATTATAAAGTTAAAAATGTAAAAAATAAAATCGAGAATTTTCATACAATAATAGCATTCAGTAGCCATTTTCACCATGAAGACAAGATAAAGTCCGAAATTTTTTTTTACAATAATAAAGTATATTACATTAACTTTAATTTAAGATATATATAAAAGTGTCAGACTTTCCGGAACACTTTCAAAATTTAAGTTGAAAAAGTAAATTTTTTGTGAAAAAGTTGTCATTTTAAATCCCCCCTGTGGGCAAATAAATGGTCACATATAAAAATAAAATATACCAAATGAAAGGTAATTATATTGATTCGGTTATTTTTAAAAATGTTATAGCAATTTTAAGTAAAAAAAATTGAAAAAATGTCGAAAATTAGCGATTTTTAAATTTGTAATTTTTTTGGAGGTTTCCCCCATTTACGGGGAACGAGGGAATTTTTTTCAATTTTGAAGGGTAATGTCTTCGACTAGATACGATTT